ATGCCTATTATGCCACAGCAACTACCAATGATGATGCCACAGCAACTACCAATGATGATGCCACAGGCTATGCCTTGCCAACAACCGCAAATGCCATACTTACCTTCAATGATGTCACCTCTAATTATGCCTCAAATGCCTCAGTTTCCACAACAGTTGCCATGCCCTCCCATGATGCCTCAAATGCCTCAGTTTCCGCAACAAATGCCATGCCCTCCCATGATGCCTCAAATGCCTCAGTTTCCACAACAGTTGCCATGCCCTCCCATGATGCCTCAAATGCCTCAGTTTCCACAACAGTTGCCATGCCCTCCCATGATGCCTCAGATGCCTCAGTTTCCGCAACAAATGCCATGCCCTCCCATGATGCCTCAGATGCCTCAGTTTCCACAACAGATGCCATGCCCTCCCATGATGCCTCAGATGCCTCAGTTTCCGCAACAAATGCCATGCCCTCCCATGATGCCTCAATTTCCACAGCAGCTGCCATGCGCTCCTCAAATGCCAATGATGCAGCAACAAATGCCTTGTATGCCTCAACAAAACTTCATGATGCCTCCCCAATTTCCCATGCAACAATCATTTCAACATCCATGTTTACAATCAATGGGTGGATCATTTGCCGGATCTCAAATGATGCTACCACAGGGAGGCATGAGTAATTACCTTGGATACGGGTCTCCTAGTTACCCAGGTAGTAATATGAATATGATGGGTGGATTTCCATCAACCGGACGTGTTCTCGTTGTGTGTTGTGCTTTTCCTCAACCATAAAATTTTAATTATATTATCGTTACCCACTATGCCGTTGCATTATGTTGGAGAAGCAAACGATTGCGTTGCGTCCCATCGGTTCTCTATTGACTTTTATTATATCTATCGTTTTAAAATGTTTAACGTTTGTTGAGCTTTCAACAAAGCACAAAAATTACTATACACTATCGACGACAAATTCATAGAAAAGTTTTGCATTTCAATGAAAAAAACAAAATCAATGTTTGGTGAAGTTTTTTACTGAAGAAAATTGAACATTTCAAGAATATGGATGTAACTTTTCTAAAAAACGAAGCACTGCTATTTTAACTTATGTATGCACGTTTAGACTACCATATGTCGGTTTCTTTTCTTCTCTTTTTTTTTATTGAAAAAAAAAGACAAAGCAGATATTGTTTTGTAATTTGTTTTTTACCATTTTGAACATAATATCAAAAATCTTTATATCAACGTTTATTATACTGTCATAACAGTACTTTTTGGTGAAAAGCAGATTCTGAACTTATGTACCGTTGTTCTTTAGAAATTTGACTATTAGAACGAAGATCTAATGCCGATTATAACTTGTTTTTGTTCTATTTAATGTTGCACTGTAAATGATGTGAGAAAAATCTCAAAAATTAGAAGGAATATATCTCACTATAATAAAAAGGTCGAACATATGTAAGATCGAAAAAAATGCCCATAAGTTTTATTTCATTCTGTTTCAATATTAAAATTTAAACTCCAGAAAGAGTTATTGTCCTATTGTCGTAAGTCTTTTTAGTCTTTCAGAAAAGTGCTAAGTTTAAATTGTATTCGAACAAAGTAGAAAGAGAAAAAGGATATTGTAGTACGTAGTTTCAGGTTATGCTATTATTATTTATCAGTATTGTTATTACCATTATTATTCACAGTATTTGAATAATTAGAGATGAAATTTTTACAAAGAGACTCCATATTTCTCGTTCGGATTTATTTCTGAAGTCTGTGAAATGGTATAGGAAGAATTTTTTTGTTAACATATGGTACAAAGTAATGGCAACAATGTCAAACTCTGTTAAATCGTATTGCCGACCTCTAAAATAATCAAACTTTGTTTTGTTGGAAAGAGCAAAGTCTGAACTACAAGTTTTGTGCTAGACATATTTTTTCAGAATGAACTTGATAAGAAGGAAAAGTCAAAAACCAAACACTTCTGAAAAAGTCCTTGCAACTTCGCTATGGAGCAACATCATTTTCTATTTCCTATTAGTTTTTTTTTTCATCAGAAGAGAAATGAGAAAATACGTTGAATGATGATTTTTGTAGCATAAAGAGTGCTCTTTCCAATGATATATTGGAAGTTAAATTTACTTTTGATTTTTGTACCAAAATACAGCTTTTTTTGAAAGTGACTAAATAATTTGATTGTTCTTACTATCAGGCCGTTTTGCAACGAGAAAAAATCTGTTTTGAATTTTTTTTTTGCAAAATTTCTACGATCGGACAGATTTCTAACAAATAACGCAAAAAGAATTGAATTCATGCATGATTTCTGAAGATGATGGCTGATTTTCTTGCAAAGTGATAGTTTTGCAACAGACTCGATTTTACAAAAAAAGTCGTTTTGATTAAAGAGCTAAAACTTTTACCAATGTTGACATCGATAGAGTTTTTGATCCGCTACATTTTGTTCAAATTTGATACGTGGAGCTTGAAATAATTGAGAAATACAAACTTTTCAAGGTAGTTGCAAGGACTTTTTCAGAGGCGTTTGATTTTTGACTTTTCCTCCTTCTCAGATTCGTTCTGAAAAAATGTGTCTAGTACAAAACTTATAGTTCAGACTTTGCTCTTTCCAACAAAACAAAGTTTGATTATTTTAGAGGTCGGCAATACGATCTAACAGAGTTTGATATTATTGTCATTACTTTTGCACCATATGTTAGTGTTCAAAAATTTCCGAAATCAAATTTAAATACTAAACTCTTTATCTTTATTCAGTGCAATTTCGACTATGAACTATAGTATTATGAACTTTTTTTGTCATTTAATTTAGTTTCTTCTGAGAAGAAAAAATAAATTTTTTGCAATTATAGAGTGAAAATCACTCTCAGAAGTCACTATGAGCTGTCACATCAGATGATTTAGTTCAAATAGACTAATGGATACCAAAAATTAAAACAATAACAATCCATATCCTATTTGAGAAAAGTAATAACATTAATTTGTATTTTTCTCCGTTCTCAACATTTGGAAAATTTTTGTTTTTTATAAAATCAAAATAGCATGAAAGAGACATGAAAGTAAATTTTATAAAGATCAAGTTTGACATTGAAGTTGATCAGGTTTTCCTTTAAATATATAAATAGACATGACATATAATTATCGTTAAAGTTTTCTTTAATATGCTTAATTTATTTCCAATCCAGATAGTCAATAATACATGAACTGATTCACGCTCAAAAAGATCTCAGAGAAGAAAAAAGCCTTTTTGTTATTAATTATAATAATACTGCAGACAAGAAAACACATCATTTTTTACTTCAAAAAGAGTAACACGTTCTGATTGTGAATGGTTGAATACCTTTTTTTCGGAAACACCCAAACTATACATAAGGAAGTTCGGAAGTGATGAACTAACGATGTCAAAGTGTACAAAAATAACTGTTAAAAATATTTTATATGCTATACTAATATAATATATAAAATATATTTCTTCAAAAGAATAAATTTTCTCTATTTCGTTTTCTTTCATTTATTTATAATGAGAGAAGATTTTACTTTTTGAGTGTTTTTCTCTTCTGATTCAATTTAAACTAATATTTTATTCTTTATTGTAATATGCGAGTGTGACGATATGGTATGTATATAGATTCTGATTAAAAATTAAAATAGACTCACATATTTATAACAATATATTAGTTATTAATGAGAAATCTCTCCTATCACTTATTCTTTCGATATACCGAATGAGAGAAAATATGCATATTTTCTAATTAAAATGAATAGTTAAATTTTATGCATCAGCTTTATACATAAATCTTTGTAATTAGTTTTTATTTACAAAAAACATTATCTAGTCAAACGACTGATTTAACTAAAATTTTAGTGGATCTAACATATTATTGCTATATGTAAGTTTATTTTATAACTAGACGTTGATATGTGTACTATTTCTATTTAAACATCTATTTTAAAATTAAAACAATATATTTAATTTTTTTTGGACTAATATAACAATCTAGAAAAGTTAATGTTACGTCATAGTTACTATCTGAAAGATATCGTTCTCTTAATAACACATAAATTTCTTATTCGTGAATATTTTCCAAAATGATTTTATCTAGGTTATTTATATATCTATGTTTTTGACAGATTACTGTAGATGAATAAAAGTAGTAAATTCTAATGAATGCCTAATTTATCTTTTTATTCAATTAGCTATTTTTACTAAGTACTTTGAGTATTAATGTTCATTAGGCTTCTTTTTTTTTTTATTCAACTAGAACGAGACGTTTAATATGTAAGAAAAATGTTTCACAATTAGAATTTTTAACAATGAAAAAATATTTTTGTTAAAAAGATTTAATAGTGATACAAAATTGTCTTTATCTATGTCATTCTCAACATCCTGTCGTTAAAAAAATTTCCATTTTTGGATTATTTCATCTACTTAGAAGATTTATTGTTCTTACTTAACATCAGCTATTTATCATAGTAATAATAGTTAGGACAAAGTTTTAGAGAAAATAGACAAATCACTTGAGAATAAAAATAAGTCTAAAAAACATATCGTGTGGGAGAATAAAACATCTTTCATTATCTTTATAAATAGGCCTGGAGCAACTAACTATTTGGATGGAAATCTGCCATAAATAATAACTGAATTATTGTCTTCTTGTACGCTATTTTTAATGCTAAAATTCGTAAGTACAAGTTTGTTCAACATAGGCCAGCTCTATTTAAAAGATGTTAGACAACCGTGAAACATAATATCTAGCAGAAATAAACAATCATGATCCCGTTTTATTAATTTATTCTAATAAAAGTATATACTGTGGTTTTCATTTCCCAGTTAAAAAAATATATCAAGAGGAGGAGTATGATGGAGCACTGTTTTTGGCAAAAAAAAGAAAGAAATACTCTTTTTCCTGAAAAGAGTGCTCCAAAAAAGGAGAAATCGCGATAACCCTTATTTTATACTTACTCGGGAGTACCCAAAGTGCATGTTCTCAAAAGGAGTACTCCAAAAACTACACTTTTTTTGAAGTGCTCTACAATGCCTCGGCTTCACTTTATAAACAGGAGTGCTCCGAAGCGCTTTTTTTTTGAGGAGTATTCTGGACTATTCTAAAAAAAGAGTACTCTAGAGTACTTTTAGCGGCTTTTTTCAAAAGGAGTGCTCCGAAAACGGAGTACACTTTCATATTCCTACTTCTGATCTTTTTTTTGACTGGGTTGTCTCATATTAAGAATTTGAGATCTCAAAAGAACTCAAATGCAGATCTTAAACTTTTAAAAACTCATATTCTGTTCTTTGATTTGCTTCATAAGTGTTTTCATATTGAATTCTTCAACTTTTCACTAGTAACCATCATTTTACCTTTAAAGCGTCTATTTAGAACAAAAACCGAACTTTGTCTAACTAGTGGAATCTAATTGATCTAATTTTCATCAAATTTGGGACTAGAATCTGTGGATAAGAGTCTCAGCTATTTAACGATCTGAAACTTACTCCAGTATTCACAGAAGAGACACATATCACAAAAATTTACTAAGAACAGGATTATTTTAGTTCTAATTAGAGTCTGTATCAGACTATTATCTAACTGGAACAGTTCCATTAAAATACATGGTTCTTTTTTGTATAAATAAAAATTACGTTTTAGGAAACTTTGTACAATAGATTAATGAATTTTTATATTGTCATGTTTAGATGAACGAGTCGGGTTGCATACGACTGTTTTGAGATCTGACAACGAAAATTCTTTAAGTTAGATTCACAAAACTTTAAAGTATAAGAAGATGAGATGGTTACATATTAGAATAGGATAAAATAAAACTTTACAGAAAAATATATGCCTATTTGCGATCTCGTTGACATATTCTATGAGTAAAAGTTAGATGCAACAATATTTCAAAGAATATTGTAGGAAATATTTGCGGAAAAGTAGTTGACTAAACTGTTTTGTATGCAATGAATCAATTTCGAGAATGATGCGACAAAAAAATGTGACAATATAGTCGCAAGATAATGAAAGCATATTTAGTCTTCGTTCTTTTCTATACAGCAACTAAGACTCTCAGCTACAAAAATCTCAAGTTTAATTAAATTAGTTCAAAACTCGCTCAGATAGCAAAGCCACAAATTAGGTTGGTTCATGTTTAGCTTCAATTAGACAATTTACTCTATTTTGACTAATCACTTCATCCATCTCATATGATTTAAAGAAAAATATTTTTTTCTTTGTTGTTTTTGATGTTCTCTCTTTGTGGTACTCTTAACCAATCAAATTTCTATCCGTATTAATAGAATTATCATTTCTATTCTTCAAATAGATATTAATTAATAGTTTTATAAAATTCAGTTTATTTTTGTTTGCTTTGTTTTCTCGACATGTTGGAATTAATTGTAGTTCAAGTTCTTGCAAATAATTTTCTATACGAAAAAGTTAGAAAATTATTTGTTAATAAGTAAAATATTCAACGTAAGCTTTTTTCACTTAAAAATTAAAACGAGCATCATGGCACCAGTTCTTTACTACACTTTTTTCTCAGTAATATTGAACAAAGTACACAACTTTGTGAATTTGACAAGCGTAGAAGTATGGAGTAGACTTGATTATAAAATTCATTTTCTTGTTCAAATATTCGTTAAAACATACTATGAAAACAGCTCGTTCTATAGAAATATTCGACGTTCGTTTTCTGCACATTAGTTCTAAAACTAGAAGATCATAATCCATCGTTATTGAAGCTCTTAGCTGACAATTAAGAGTATTAATTCTTCGCACTGTCTATTGTTGACTAGATATCAGCTTAGCATACAAAACATTTCCAGCTATTTTTTTCTCAACAAACAGAGAGATTAGAGAAGCTTAGAAATCTCTGTACTTGTCATAAGAATTATACACAAATTTTTCGAAATATTATGTAATCTCATTCGTTATTCTTATTTTAGATGGCATCAAAAAATTTTCGTTCAAAATTTTATTGTCGATGTTTTTGTGTATTTTCAATTTTATTATCATTCCTAGTTAATGAAACGTGCTCAAAATCTGTGCGCGTACATGCACATGGTCAACGATTATCTATTCCTCGCTATCCATACATAAAAGATCGTATAATAAGAAGTAATTCGGGTAAATTATTAAGCGTTGATACAAATGGTATCCATAGACCGAATAATGCTATAGAAATTGAACAAGAATTGTCGTTAACCACTCAGACACTCCCATTATTCGATTTCGAAACGCAACATACATGTGTGACAGCTTGTTACGCATGCGTAGAAGGACCGTTGCATTCAGAAGGATCAAATGTAAGATAAAAGCCGCTAGTTTCAGTGAAATTCAATTTAATATTCTTTTTTTTGTAGAAAAAGCAATCATCCGATGAAAACTGCGGTCCAATGTGTGATTGTGCTGATATGTGCTTTACTAATTCTATAGAAGAGGTAAATTCACAATTTGGTGGTGAAAATTCATGTTGGTTACGATCATACCTACAAGCACTTGCCGGCGAACAAGTCATATAAAAAATAATAACATGTTTTTGTTTAATTTAGAATATAACTTTAAGATCAGTATTTAAACATTTCATACCATTAAAGATTCAGGATACACTACATCGACATTCAGGATTGAAATAAAGTCGAATCAATTTCTGATTATCGTACACATCTACAATTTTTTTTAGTTACTTCTTGTGCCGTAGATTATACAGATCTACAGTGAAAAAAAGTTTTACTCGAGCAATCGGGCAGAGCTGTGACATAGATAGAAAAAAGTCGTCAATTAGGTATCCAACTTTTTTCCAAACAAAAGCAAGAAAACATACATTTATCTCAGTGACAAGAATTGCCACTTAAATATTGGCACGTGACCACTTTAAGTATTGGTAAGAAAGTATGGTTTCTTAGTTACATGAAAGAGAAATTATATCTTTTTTTGTATCATAACAGTTGCGAATCTAATTAGAATAGGGCACAGTGGTTTATTCAATATATTTGGGCTAATAGACCTACCACCTTCGGTTCATAAGATATGATTCATTATGTCATTGCTTCAAAATCGTTGAAGCATCAATCAGTTCTTTTTTTACCGTCGAAGAAGTACGTCGAGGAGCTAGTCTCAATTAGAGGTGTTAGTCTATCATGGGATCGACGGCGACATGTAACATTTTAGTTGCGGGCGGTGGTGATAATTTTTAAAATATTCGACCGATAATGATGCCGCTAAGATCTGTAGTCTCTATGAAGTAATGATGGTGTTTTTGAAAAAAAAAAAACAGTACTAGACTTACGACGGCGGCGCTAATCGTTAAACAGATTAACAGATTATGCGATGTGTTTTCCCAGCGGATATCAAAAACTACCTATTGTTACAAACACCCTTTACATGAAAAACGTGAGAAATTTCTCTCAAAAGTTTAAATAGAATCACTGGAAATTCTTTGGATTCTGTCAAACCCTTCTTCAATAAGTCCAATTATGTCTTATCAGGTAAATGATTTTCTATCTAGAACCGGATTATGTTTATTCATGATTAACTAACGTATAAGTGACAAAAATTTGTTGTTCTTCCATAGACTTCTCAAAAACTTCTTCTAACATCTCCTAAAACTGTTCTATATAGTATTACAAGCTGCATGTTCATGCGCTTATCGCAACAACTAGTTTTGAGTAAAAAAAATACGACTATTTTGATCTAGGAACAGAAGTATTGAGCTTACAATTTTACACGCCTCTCCTTTGCTAAACATAGCTCTTTTCTATTTGCGCATTTACGCGAAGGTAGTGAGCTTATTATAAACCTATCAAAATTTGTATGCGATATATAGACTTTTAATAATTAAAATTTTAAGAGCTGTTATTCATATAAATTGGACGCAATAAAGATTCAAAATCTCGCATCATATAACATATGGAAATTATATCAAAAAAATATATAACAATAAAAAACGAAAGAAGAATGAATAAAATGAAGGAGTAGTCATTATATAAATCTAACTTGACTCATTTTTTAACAGCTGATACTGCCCATACAAAAATTCTGGATATCCTTGGATATAACATTTTTGTTGTTCATCATTACATTGATTAACTTTATTCATTGCACTAGTGTCTAATGGTCGACTATTTTCAACACAAATTGATTCGTAATATAATTCAGGTGATATTGATTGAATATATTTGTCTTGCTGTGATAATCGATAATATTTCACTATAAGACCTGTGTGCTCTTCCATATATCGTAAGTGTAGTTTTTGTTTACGAAACTTTTTCACATAACATAGGATTATATCATTATTTGATTCTAATGAATTAATAATACTCTTGATGATATTATTTTTATCATTATTTTTTTCCATATATTTTTTTAATTGTTTAACAACATCTTCAAATGTTTCAAAGCTCAATTGATTATCATTATCAGCACCCACCACTGTTTTGATAACTATTTTGGACCATAATTCTTGATTATCTGCACGTTTTTCAACTCGATATTTTAATTCTAAGCTTGATTCGCGACGTAATTTCAATCCACAATCATTCTGATGATCACCACTTAGCAGATAATAAATATCCGTTCGTATTTCAATACCAGACTTTAAACTTTCCCATTGATGAACATCATCAACTTTATAAAATATTCGATATTCATATACCATAATAAAATGGCAAAACTATGAAATTATTAAAGAGATTGTTTCAGAATATGATCAGATAAGGTTATCAAGTCGATCAGACTTAGAATATCAAAAAAAATTCTAAAAAATTATCCTTTTTTTTAAAAAACTCAAATAAATTTCATGGACAAGAAAACAAACATTTTTAGTTCTCTAATTTTATCAAAAGATATTCCAAGTTTTACAACTTCTCACATTAATAAAAATGTCACGAATTGCTCTCACTATAAATTAACGAGAAGATTAAATAATGATAAATCCATAATATAACGTTCACCGATATAAACTGATAATAGAGAGATTTTTAATGTTTGACATTGAATCGACTGCTTATGATAGTGTTAAAAACATTTATTTATTAATTATATATATGTGCAGAAAAATATCATCATCACGTTCACCAAATACAATACTTACAAAACAAAAATAAATTTTAGAATAAAAAAATGGACTGTCAAAAATGGCACAGAGTATCGTATTTAAATAGAAGTTTTTCTCATAATAATTCATTACCGGTTATCAACTTTTCAGTTTAATGTGCATAAAATGTTTAGAAAATAAAGAAAAAAAACAAAAAAAGACATGGAAAATTAACTACAAGAAAAATAATCAATGGACGGAATAAGAATGTGTAGAATAACAAGCCCGTGTTAAAAATGCAATAATGCAATCACGTTTATAAAAGAATGTTAGTAAAATATGACATATTGCATTAGCCGCAGAATACAAAAAAAAAAAAAGAATATAGATTATAAGATTAAAATACATATCGTACAGATATGTGTGATGTGTATCACGTCATTAGTTACGAATAAAACCTTACGACAAAATATTGTGCAGTAAATAACAGTAAGGATTCAAAGTATTTGATACAATTATAAAAAGCTTTGCTAGTCGAAAATGGAAGGGCACATGACGATTTATCAGAAAAAATAATAATCAGATTTACTGTGTTCATATGTTTATCAAATAGAAATCGAATAGTTTTGTTGTCAAACTAAAAGATAAATGGTTTAAAACAAACATACTAGTTTCACTGATCGAGAAAAAGATCGGATTAAAAAAAAGAAAAATATTTATCAGAAAAATATGTCAATAATTAAACAAACAAATATCTTATGTAAATAAGTCCCAGTTGAAATTGTTTGTATCCTCTTCGACAACTACCGATAAGCAAGGAATTTGCATATTTAAAGACTATAAATAATAAAATGGAAGAAATAATGAAGAAATAATTATAAAATATTAGACTTACGTTAAGATCATTTGATTCATTCATAACACAATTCAATGATCGAGAATCATCTAGAGAAATATAAACGAGAAAAATTTTTTTGAATAAAATAAAAATTAATTACTTACTTGTGCGTGATTGAACCATATTTGTAATGCCTGTATAATCGAAAAAATTTGATAATGATGATGCCAAATTGATTAATTGATCACGATCTTGAAATGTTGAACTTGCACGAACTGTATCAAGAAGTTCTACGTACAAGAAAAAGATTAGATGTTAAAACGAAAAAAAGGTAACACCTAAAAGCATATTACCACAATATGGTTCAAGTTTAATATCATTCCAATTAATTTCACCACTTCCGGCCATTTTAACACTTTCAATGAAACTATCTCCATGTGGAAATAAATCTTGACAAATATTATTCAATGTCACATCCATAAATAAAGAGTCAACACGTATATTATTAGTAAATAATGACTTTTTTACTTACCAGTTGAAAACGAATTGTTTGAATCAAGAACTTGTTCGCGAAATCGACGAAATGATGCTGTTAGTTCAATGTTTATATCTTCAGGCATCCATTGACACTAATAACAAAATTACTCTCATTTTTCATTAAAAAAAAACTCTTAAAAGTTTTCTAAATCTCACATTTGACGTTAGACCAGCTGGTGAATCTGAATCATCTGTAGAAGATGATTGTCCACCAACACTATTTATATCATAAATCATTGGATTGTTGTAATAGGCTGTAGAAGTGTTTGAGGCTTGTGGTTGACCCGAACATACTTGTTGTTGAGAATGAATCTGATCTTCAGGGTGACGTTTTCGTATAGTCGAATTTGTTTCCGATTCTTCAATGGTCCAATAACTTCCTTTGCCAGGATCATTTGTACCACGTTGCACTTTTTTAAAGCATTTATTTAATGATAAATTATGACGAATTGAATTCTACCAAGAAAAATCAAAAGATAAATGAAAGATTGTTTAAAACTGTTAGTGACATTTGAACTCACTTTCCATTTTGGTGGGGCTTTTTTGAAATAGGGATATTTTTCAATTATCCAATGGTAAATTTCATTTAGTGTCATTCGTTGGTTTGGTGTACTCAATATAGCTCGACGAATTAGAGATACGTAACTACATGGTGGTTTCTGATATTGTTCACAAGGTTGATGTTGTATAAAACCATTAGATAGATGCTGTTGCATAGTTAAAGTTGGATTTGACATAAAAGTTGGTTCTGATATTGGATAATCGTCACAGTAATTTGTTAATTCTTGATTATTATAGCTAATTGGAACAGTATTATGTCGATTTAATGTTGATGTGGATATTTCATCCATATTAGCCGTGGTCATCATTGAAAGTGGCGGCGGTGGCGGTGGAGGTGTTGCCGATGTGATTGGTTTTCCAATTTTCATATTGGGTAGCCATTCGATTGATGTTAAACTACAGTCAAGTGGTGTCGATTGTTGATGATTTTGTCGGATTGTGTTTGCAGACTTTGATGATAATGTTTGACGAGAATTCATATTCGTTAATCTTTGTGGTATTTTACCATCATATGTTTTATAAGTTTGTGCAAACATTTTACTCCGAGCATATACAAAATTCTATAAATAATTTGAAAAAAATTCAACTAGAAGTGCATTCTAGAAAAAAGTGTAGATAAAAAAACTGAAAAAAAATTTGGATTTTGAAGCGACACGACATACTTTTAAATACAGATTTTCTCCCTTATGGGCAAACTTCTGAAGAAATGCACGAATAGTTTCACAGTAGTAACAAATATATTTTATAATTTATTTTACTTAGTTAAAACACAAACTGAATCTTCAACGATTTTTAAAACTAGAGTAAAATAAGAAAAACTGGAAGATATTATTCCAAAATCCATTCGTATATCTTTAATGTCCAAATCCGAAAGTGTTTCATGTCGTCATCACAAACTTTCAAACCTTTTAAAAATAAAAAAATAGCGGTAGGTATTTTATTGAACATTTCATTTATTTTTAGATGAACACCTTAGAGAAATAGGTAACATACCCAGGCCTGCTTTAGAGTAAGGTCAATGCAAAAACAAAAACGGCATTTTCCTTGCATCATTTTTTTCTTCAAGAACAGAAATTGTCACTGATCTCAAACAAAAAGGATTGTTGAAAATGCTTTTAGGAATTTATTCAAAAGTCATGGCTGTGAAAAAAGTCTATTGAACAGAAACTCTGTATGATATGAATGGATAAAAAAAATTTCAATATGAATTTATTTGAGAATCTTTTTACTTTTTTAGTTTTTAATATTACAAAAACAAAAAAAAAATGTTGACCACATATAACTAACTTTTTGACAGTGAAAAATAAATTCAGCATAACACAGCTGTTCCTGAGTTTTATTACCACAGACTTCAAGAAGATACAGAGAAAATGAATTAACAAAAGAAAACAAATATTTCTTCGTTGAGTGCAAAAAGCGACCCACCGTTCATATAGTGTGCGTGTTCAAAGATAAGAGCACATCCAAATAAGACTGTTCAAATACAAATTAAAAATAACACAAAAAAGATATCGCTTCATATTCCTTAATCTATTCTAAATATGACTTATTAGTGTCAACAAAAAATATATAGATATCTCTATGCTCTATGTACATCTAAATGGAAAAAATGTATCTGACATAAACGTGTTGATGATTTTATTTTTTCTTAAGAGATTATTTTTCTTGTTTTATGATTTTGTTTGTTCCATACAGTCTGTACTCATATGAATAACATCGATTAATTCGACAGTCGAGTCCACATTTTGGTGACAAACAAGAAATACATGGTTGAAAACAGCCTGTAATAAAAGATTGATTTAGTACGTATAGCTCAGAAATATTTTAAAATAGATTCTACCTGGGCAAGCTTTTCTATTGCAATCACAACGATCACTTTTATCACTGATTAACAGACCAACATTATCGTATACTGGACGACTTCGACTAGAAGTAAAAAAATAGTTATACTGTGAACGTTTCTTACTAGAAAAACAACAGACCCTGTTCTTTCTTGTGTTGAATTACGTCGTATATTTTTCATTCTTCTCGAACTAACATTAGTCACCACATTTTTAGGTCCAGGATTGCGAAAGCCTAATTCATCGACTAACTTCTGTAAAATAAAATTAAACAAATTTAGTTCATTACATAGTATTTAAATCAAAAGAATCTTTAACAAACATTTCTGCCTTTCTTTCTGACTGGAGCTTTTGTTGTTCTAGTCGCTGTCGCCACTGGAAGAACATTACCAGATAAGGAAACTGGTGAACTGTTTGGAGCTACTAATGTTTCTTCTATTTTTGAACTCTAAATAATAAAAGAATGACAATTTATTGAATGCTTTGTGACGTTGATTATAGGCACAGACTTCTTCTAGTGCATCAAATATGTTGTTATTATCATCCATGTTTTACAGATCAAGAAAAATCAATAACTGTACATTTAAATATTTTTCGAAAACATATTCTGAAAAAATAGCAAATACAGTAAGTGAAAAGATGACTCTGCTTGACTAATAGCAGAACATCACGTTTAGTCCTTGTGTAATATATTCGACATGTGAGTGACATGTTTAAGTGCAGAGAAACCACCCACTTAAATAACTGATAATGCACATAAGTAGGCGAAACTGCCACCCACATATGTAGAACGAATCTACATATAATAGTATAGTATAGACATTCATATCTCTAAAACAAAAACAAACAAACAAACGTTTGCTTTTATTGCTTAACGACATTTCACCAATAGAATATAAGCAATGGCGAGATGTTATTCGGTCAAGATAGACTACAATTACTGTAAATCTGTACACTGCTAAAGTGGATTACCTCCACTGGATAAGCAAATCATAAACATGAAAGTTGTTACGTGCTGAAGTGGTTTACATCATCCAAGTGGTAGAATGCTATACTTTGAAGGTTTAACATAATGACCAATCAAAAGTCTTTTCTTTCTGTGAATTTGAAGACAAATAAATTACTACTTGACCCGAGAATTCGAGGAAACCCGTCTATATATACCTGAAAACTGCCTGAAGAACTCTTTACATGATCCTTTTTCAGGTAATGTATTGATACGACTCAACATTTAGATAACCGCTACTAGTCATTCAGATTCCACTACATATTTATACTTCGACTTGTCTGTTTTTTCATTCTAACTATCGCATAATGAAATTATGTATCCTTGCTTCACATTTTATAATGTTCATGTCAACTGCTAGATGGACTGATTAACTGACTCGCTAGATGTGAACATATTTGAATCAGTGCTGTCAGGTGTTAGAACATCGTTAAAAGAAAGGCGGGCGACGAACAATATCAAACGCAAGCGCAAGAAGATGAAATGTTCCTTTTGCCATTGAAATGTTCATTTTGAATTTTTTTGACTGCTTAATTCATTTTTTTATATATCTGAAATAGCGATCAAATATATTATAACAAACCTGACTGATGTACTAGAATGACTGTGAAATCATATTTCACACAATAAGCTCGTAGTCCATTTAGAGCGTCTCAGATGCAGTGAGCGCTGCTTTCATGCGGGAGTAAATGCCTTATTTCTGTCCTGTTACTCACAAGTACAAAATGTATTCTCAGGTTTGTGACATATCATCTCTGTAACTGGATGGGTCAAGTATTGAACGGCAAACAATGATCAGCCATCTGCTTTTCTGAACGGATAGCCACTGCAGTAAATTCGTGAATTGATAGCCCTGATAACGAACTACTATTATCAATGTCTATCATATAAATTAATAAATCAAAATAGCATAAAGCATACAATATAAAATAATTTACAATAATATATATAATACCTTAGTAACATGGAAAAATGGTCGGTATTTGGTGGATAAGCCAATCAAAAAAAGGAATATCAAGAATAAGCGTCAATGCAGTTATGCATAATAAAAAATAAAAAAAAAGGCTCCTTTAAAAAACCATGTTGAAACAACAGTTACCTCTATGCTAAGATCTTATTCCAAACACGTTTTAAGCGCTCTAAACGTTTTGTACGCGTTCAGAACCCATCCAAGCGCGGGGTACTTCCATTTAGGTCCGCCCAGTTTATACATGACCTAACAGCCGGAAAAAATTCAAGACTCTTCCCGTGTAGAGCATAAAAAGTTACATAGAAATCCATATTTGTTTACTGAAAAAGTCACAGTCTATATGCCTTTTCAAGGACGTCAAGTTTCGGCCCTCCTTCTAATAAAGCAAATTTGATCTTATTTCTCTCTACCTCTACAGAGTTTACACCACCGTTGGGCATACCACACGAAAGAGCACATTTAAAAACCCCTTTTCAAAAACAATCAACTTTCAGGTTCCACAGCAGAAAAACTATATGATAGAATTCTTTTATTTTGCTCCCATTTGTAGTACTCGTCGAGCTCTACAAAATGACATCACAGATATTTTTGGCCCACTCCATTTTCACCCTCTTTTCTCGATCACAAAAGTCAGAAATATCGATTACTGTTCTCATGTTATCATCTGATTTTCACTCTGTTCTAAAATTTCAGTCAAGGCGAAATAGTTATTAATTCGCAATCCATCTTATTTTTAGCTACTACTATTTCGCCTTGACTGGAATTTTAGAACAGAGTGAAAATCAGATGATAACATGAAAACAGTAATCGATATTTCTGACTTTTGTGATCGAGAAAAGAGGGTGAAAATG